GGGAGCGCTGCTGCGCTCCCAAGCACCGCACTCTCCCAAGTGCGCCACGGGGCCGGCCCTATGATATTTTTTTATGACAGAGGAGAAATGGAGGCTCAGGAGAGTCTCAGGGCTTAAAGTCAAACAGCCGATGCCTGCAGAGCAGGGATATAGGAACATCCTCGGCAAATGTGTTTCTTTTGTGCCAGGCAGTGCGTGTGGTCAGCTCTGGGCCACACTACTCCAGGCGACATCCTCGGCAAATGTGTTTCTTTTGTGCCAGGCAGTGCGTGTGGTCAGCTCTGGGCCACACTATTCCAGACGGCCTCACTAACTGGAGAGTGATGTGTCTGGGGAGCACAGTGGGCTTCACCCCATGGTAGTGAAGAAAGCTTGGCTAACATCCAAGGCCTTGGCTAACTGCTGGTCCAGCTTTCTTTCCATCCCCATTAGTGGGGGAAGTCAGGAAGCCTCCTAACCACTAAAATTGGGCTCACCTAAACCCTCCCTGGCACCCATCAGAAGCAATGCTGGTGAAAGAATTGTCACAAACAGTGATATCCACTAGCCTAGTGAGCTGGCGAGGATGCAGGCTCTGGAGCCACACTGCCTGCCTGGGCTGTCATCCTGGCTCTGCTGCTGACCTGCTGTGTAACCAGAGCAAGCCGACTCCCTTCTGTATGCCTCTGTTTCCTCACTATAAAATGGAAATACTACTATTGTCCTCCTCATAGGTGCATGTGAAAAGCACTTAGAACAGTGCCTGATGCATGGTAAGTGCTTGATCAATGCTAATTATTATTAGAGAAATGGTTTTAATACCACGCAGCTGTACAGCATGTTACCATCACGAAATATCCACACACAGAATCTTATTTGCTCCTTACAAAGTGATCCATTCTCCTCTTTGCAGCTGAGGAGTTGGGTGTAAGGGACCGCCCACAGCCAGGAAAGGACAGAACTGGGGTGGGAGGCCCTCCCCTCTGTGCAGAGCCCCTCTTATGTGCAGAGCTCTGTCTGTGCACAACACACTGTGCCTGGGTAGTATGCCCAGGAGCGGGAACACATAATGCCAGTCACGTCACTCACCCTCAGTGCAGGCAGCTGGCCAAGGCTGGGAGTAAAGTCCATATCTCTGACAGAGGGCACTGCCAGCTGGGCACAGAGGCTGACCTTGTCTCTCTACACTCTGCTGAGCAAGCAAGATAATGTCTGTCTCTCCTGGGTCCATCCAATTACCTTAAAAATTATTTTCTACTCAAAACTGCCTACATTCCCCCTTCGCCCCCTCCCCTGTGAAGGAAGGGTATATAAGCATCTGAACCTCACTGGGTCATGGATAATCATTCTTCTGCTTATGTGTGTTAAATAAATTTGTGTGCCTTCTTCTCCTGCTAACCTGCCTATTGTCAGTTCATTTTCAGTGAATCTTCAGAGGGCGGGCAGTGGGGGGAGCTTTCCCTTGGCCCCTGCAGCACATGAGGTCAAGCTGCAGACTCCCCCCAGGGTTACCCATTACTGGCCCCCAGAAGCAAGAGCCCAGATGTCCCCCAAGAAGTTAGGGGGGAAGTCTTCCGGGAGCTTCTTCTGTGTGGTTTCCCATCACCTTCAGAACTAGAAGTTGGCCTTCTTTTTCCTCACAGTCTCAGCCAAAGGGCAGCTGGAAGGACTCAGGCCGCAGGTGTTTTTCTGGAAAGCCCATTTGTGTCCCAGGATCCCCTTACCTGCAAGGTTGCCGGCAGCCCCCGTTGGCACAACCACCTCCACGGGGGGTAGGGGACACGTGTCCAAGGAGGACACACACCGGAAGTAAGCAAAGAAGTGGTGGGCCATCTGCACGAGGACCCGGGACCAGTTGATGGAATTCAGGCTCATCAGATTGTGCTTCTTGACAAAAGCCACGTCGGTGAACACGGCCTTGATGGGCTCATCGAGCTCATCGCTGTTTCCCTCTACTGTCAGGGGAGAGAGGAGAGGACAGCTGTCAGGAGCACAAAGAAACCCCGGGCAGCAGCACTTGCCTGCGACAAGGCCCACCCTGCTGAGCCCGTCCTCCTGGGACCTCCGGCAGCCTTGTTTCCTTTACTACCACGTGGTGTGGCCTGGCTTTCTAGACTCAATATCAAGTTCCTCAGGGACAGAAACCATGCCTCCTATTCTTCTGTTCCTGAAAATCTTCCTTATCTGGGAGAGAACAGAAAATATAGCCAGAACCATTCCCAATGTTTCTACCATTATATAAAAATAAGATATAAAATGTCAGGCTTCTGGGATATTGGGAAAGAATTCCTTTTTGTATTTCATGCCCATGTTCTCCACTCTTTGGTAAAGGAGGAGGAATTGTTGGCCTGTTTGTGAGATGTTGGGAGGCTGATCCTTTACTCCACACTCCTCTTTCCGGGGTTAGGGTGGAAACAGTGAGTACTCCCGGGTGGTCTGCCCTTCGGCCCTCGTTTAGATCATAAGAATGGGTGCTCCGCTCTCTACACCGATGTGGGGGTTAGGGTGGAAACAGTGAGTACTCCCGGGTGGTCTGCCCTTCGGCCCTCGTTTAGATCACAAGGATGGGTGCTCTGCTCTCTACACCGATGTGACAGATAAGCGTGTGTGGGCAGAATTTCTCCTCCCTGAAGCTGGGTGTGTATGTAAGTTTAATTTATGGGGAAATTATGGAGTAAATTTATGGGTGAATTATCCGCTAGTCCAAATTAAATCCCCAATCTAGCTCAACCAGCAATTCAACAGATATAGATCTCTTATTTGATACTTGGGTGTATTTCTTCATTGGATCCATGCTTGGAGGGGAAGGGGCTGAAATTTACTGGGGGAAGTACCAGAGTAGGTATTATGGCTGTTAACCATTCTGTCCTTTACCACCATGTATCAGTGGTGAGGCTGGGGGCTGGCTCTCGAACCACATGGGAACCCTGAATGGTCTGAGCCAGTTGCGGTGATCCCATTCCTTTGCTAGGACCAAGCCATCATTGACTGGCATTCCCTTGGGGTCAGGGTTTGGCTCCAGGATGAGCATGTGACTAAATTCAGGCCAGTGACACACAGGGGATGTCTGCTGAGGTTCTAGGAAAAGGTTCACTGTTTTTAAGAAAGGACCACAGAAACAGAGATACCTGGTTATCTCAATAACCACCACAGAACCACAAAAGGAATGAGCCTTAGGACTGGGGAAGGCAGAGCAGAGAATGGGAAGAACCTGGATTCCCGAAGGCACTGGGAGTCACTGAGTCATCCAACTGGGAGCCCATCCCACTTCCAGTTACAGAAGCTGGAAAAAATCCTAGTTTAAGATGGTCTCAGATTTTCTGTTACTTCTAGCGAAAAGAATCCCAAATAATATAATGAATGAATTCCTAGAGCTTTTTGATTATTCTGTGCTTAAGAAGAAACAAGTATACAATGCATACGGAAATTAGTGACTTAAAAACCCAGTATCCACTCACAACAATCCAGATGGCCCATCCCTATCCCCCAAAACATATATTCACTGTTAGCTCCTGAACTAACACACATCCTCCTGGAAACCAAACCAGAAGGCTCCAGAAAGGACAGGAAAAAATTTGAACAGTGCTGTTCATAAACAAAACTGATTTCTTTAAAGTCTGTTGCCTTATTTTCTTGAAGCTCAGAAAACGTGCAAAACAGAAATTCCCCTTCAGCTCCAGCAATAACACTTTTATGGCACACTGGGCTCATCGCCATCCACTTTTCTGCCTCTATTGTACAAACGAGCACCATCCTCCAACCCACAGGTCAGGAATGGAACTTCCATTCATACCCTTAGGTAAAAGCCTTCTAATTTCTGTGCACAAGGTGAGAAGGGAATAGGTGGCAGAACAGAAGTGCCAAACATTAATCTCTGCTTTGATTCTAGGAAGACAGTCCTAGGTCCATAACTAGGAACTCTGGCACTTGGGGTATAACAGGAACCCTCAGGAGCCTGACTCTTGTGCATTAAGGTCCTGCAATGACTGCAGGAAAATACAGCCAAATATGGGCAATTACCAAAGCTAATGTGTAAGAGTTTGCCAACACCCACATTAGGCAAACCAGGGACTTTTCAATGGAATGTGTATGCACTTGCTAAAGAAAAGAGCAGAGAGGGCTTCTTGTTTGCTCTTGAACAAACAGACAAAGGATATTCATGTTACTTCCATGGGTAAGTTTTGTTTTCACTGTGCTTTTGCTCCTTGACAAAGTTGGTATATAAAAACCTCCTCTACCTGATTGTAACAGGAGGCCAGGCAGGTAAAGGAATATTTTCTGCCACAACATTTGTTGTTCTGCCAGATGAGTGACCAAACTAAGCCAGGCTGCATGGACAGCCTGCCCAAGGCCATAGCATGCGAAATCTCAACCAAGCCTCCAACTGTTCATACTCCCACTCCCGCCCTGGGGAATCTGGTGAGGTGTGAGAGGTGGAAATAAAAACTCATGTCTCCACCAATACTCACCCTGTTTTTCTCCATCTTCAGTCCCCATAATGATTAAATTCATTCAGAATAGATGGCCGGACATGAAAGGAGATGATTTTGCCTTTCTCCAAGCACAAAGTCCTATGAGTCTCACAATGAGGCTCAGGAAGGGGTATAACTTGTGATGGATACCACTGAATAGCTTCCTATTTTAAGTACTTAGACCTGCTAACCAAGTGCATGGCTTAGTTCTTTCTATACCGTAAGTGATGGCATGACTGTCAACATATTATTACATGTTACCACTGAATAGCTTCCTATTTTAAGTACTTAGACCTGCTAACCAAGTGCATGGCTTAGTTGTTTCTATACCGTAAGTGATGGCATGACTGTCAACATATTATTACATGCTAATTACTACATTATAATTGTTATGTTATTACATGTTAATTACTACATTATAATTGTTATGTTATTACATGTTAATTATCACATTATAATTATTCCCTTAAAATAATTATGTAACATGTTTGTGCCCTGTAAACCTCAGTGTCCTGGAATAAAATCCAAGCCATTTGGCTCAGGTTATGGCTTTGCATGGCTGCCTACAAACATGGCACCAGCAGGTTGAACCTGCAGGGAGTCAGCATTCTTTGGGGTATGTTTTCAACCTGCACTCCCCTATGTTGTACTGTTGGTATTGGTTTATGCATCTGTCACCTCCAATAGTTTATGAGACTGTGTAGCCAGGAGCCTACCCAGAGCTAAGCCAAGGCATATGTACCAACCTCAAAATATGACTGATGAAGTGAGGGAGGGAGAAAGAAGGAAGAGGAGGAAGGATGGCCAGCTAGTCAATTGCACAGTTTGTCCCAGCCTATTTCCCAAAAGAGACTCAATCAGGGCAGGGCCACACTGTCCCTGCTGAGGCTGCCCTGCCTCAGCCACACCCACCTCTAAACACACGGACATTCTCCTTCAGCACCGTTGTCATCTGGAGCTCCTGAATCTTCGAACAGTGACCTTTGGGCAGTAGAACAATGATGTCCACGTTCTTTGCCCCTTGAACACTCTCAATGGCAGCACTCCCTGTGTCCCCAGAAGTTCCTGGATCAGAAGAATGGAGAAACCTCCCCTTTAGCACAAGGGGGATGAAAAAAGATAGAAAAGCATTGTTGCTGAATGTTGCTGAACGTGGCAATATCTACTTTTAAATACTTGGAGGATAGGAACCTAGTAGTGGAGGATAGGAACCTAGTAGTCAACCTGGGGTCTGTGGATCCATTAATAAAACTCAGGATGTCAGTGAACTTGGTACCACATAATCTTAAGTATTTTGTGTATTTAAAAATATTATTCTGAGAAAGATCCACAGTCTACACTAGACCAAGGGGTCCACGGCACAAGAAAAGATTAGAAACCCTGCTCTAGAAGGACCAATAACGCAGTCCATGAGTGACTCAGTGGGGGGCATCCTGTAGGTGGACACCCTGCAGTCAGGACACTAAGGTGCTCCGGTGCCCACGTTACAAACCTACAACCACGGTAACGTGCTTCTCTCTCTTGTCCAGGAAGTACTGCAAGAACTGTGCTGTGCAGCACAGGGACAAGTCCTTAAATGCATACGTGACTCCATGCCACAGCTCCAACACGTTCAGCCCGTTCTTCAACCTGGACAGATGGACCACCTCTCTGTGCTGGAATCTGCTGAAGGCTTGGTCGATCAGACCTGTGCAGGCGGGGAGGTGGGAATGGACAGCAGGTGAAGGGCATGATCTCTTCCCTCAAGTTCTCTCTCAGTCTCTTTAACACTTGGAATTCGAGTTTCCATCTCCTGCTACTAGGTAAAAAGACCAGCAATTTTTATCTTAAATAATACCATTTATGAAAATAATTGTATAATATATTTATATAATAATGTAAACCTAGAAAAACTGTTCATAGATTCCTCATAATGATTCCCTCAGAAACCAGAACTGGCAATAGAAGACTTTCATTTTTAACTTTATACAGTTCTTCACTGTTAGAATTTCTTGCGAGCATGTATTCCAATAGAGGGTGAATAAAATCATTATATGACAAACGAATCAATGTCCCATCTATTCTAATGTTCCTTCTTATAGTACAAAGCTTCTAGTTTGTGGCATTACTAAATCTCACTCTGTGATGCCAGAACCTCTGGATGGTTGATGTACAATCCTACCTAAGGCAGGGCAGTCTATCGAATCAATGTCCCATCTATTCTAATGTTCCTTCTTATAGTACAAAGCTTCTAGTTTGCTGCATTACTAAATCTCACTCTGTGATGCCAGAACCTCTGGATGGTTGATGTACAATCCTACCTAAGGCAGGGCAGTCTACAGCAGAGCTTCTCAAACTTTCATTGGCAAACCAAGAACCTGGGATCTTTTTAAAGTGCAGAGTCTGATTCGGTAGGTCTGAGGGAACCCTAGATTTCTAATAAGTGCCCAGGCAATGCCATCACTGCTAGTCACTGAACCATATTTTGAGTGGTCCTTTCTTCTCTCCAACCCAAAACACCCACCATTACATCATGGATTTTATTCTTGCTACTCAAAGTGTGGTTCATGGACCACCAGTACTAGTATTATCTGGACACTTCATAGAAATGCAGGGGGCTGGCCAGTTAGCTCAGTTGGTTACAGCTCAAGTCAAGGGTTCAGATCCCCATGCTGGCCAGCTGCCAAAAAAAAAAAGAAAAAGAAATATAGAATTCTTGGGTCCACCCCAGACTTACTGAATCAGAATTTGCTTTTTAACAAGATCTCCAGAGAAAATGACAGACACATTACAGTTTGAGATAAGCTGGTCCAGGACACTCTAAAAGTCCCTTTTGGAATTGTCATTCAAGGAAATAAAACAATCTGGGGGTGTGGATGTTTTATATGTAGGAAGAAAACATCCCGACATTCAAACCACTCAAGATGATCATGAAATCCCTAGTTCTGATGTTTTTTCTTTTTTTTAAATGAACTAAAGAAAAAAATTCTCTGCATATCATTTCAGCATTCATCTTGCTGGAGGTAGGAGCTGGAATAGATGAACTCTTCGGGATATTTCCAATTGTGGGATTTCAGAGTCAGGAAAAATCCCCAAAGTTTGGGAAATACAACTAGCAACTTCCTAGTCATTGGGTGATAGATTTACAACTCTGTGGGGGGCTGGGCTGGCAGGGGTGGGGAGTAGAAGTAGGGATGGGATGCTCACCATTTAAGTCTTCTCTCGGAATGAGCTCAGGTCCAATGAAGAGAGTGCACAGCTCCTTCACTAGGCCAGGATAGGAGAGCGTGCTCCACTGACACAGGGTCTGTCTGTCCAGCTGTGGGAGCTCCTCGGGCATGAAGAGGCCCCCATCAGGTGCATAGCCAGAGAAGAGGGCCCCCTCAAAGTCGACCGGTGGGGCCATCCCCCGGGTGCTGATGTACCGCATGATCTTGGAGGTCTGCAGAGGGGATAGTCCCAGAGGCACTTGCTTTCCAAGCTCCCAGCACACACAGCCCCCTCAGTTAGCGTCTGGACTCTCACTGGAGTGTGTGTCCCAAACCTAGATACAGGAGCCCTGTCTTGAGTCTAATGCCAGCTTTCATCTGGGACTGTGCAAATCATGACCTCTCCAATCAAAATAAGGTACCTTGGGGTAGGGAGTGCTGGAGCATGCTAGAAAAGAGATAGCTTGGTCCTCACTAGGGAGAAAGCAAGCCTTCGCAGGCAGCAGTGGAGTGGGGGGGGTGGGGGGTGGTAGATAATAGCAATAGTGGGCAACTGCCACTTGGATCTCTTGATAAGGAGAAGACTAACATATCTGGTCATACATCCCTTTAACAGATGTTTGGGTCCACTTCCCAAAAAAATGGTTGCCCAAAATCCAACCACCTTCTATGGTTATTTAGGAACATTGCCTATAACCTAGTGGTTCTCAACTCTGGTTGTTTGTTGGAATCAATTTCGGAGTGTTAAATATATATATATATAAATACCTAGGACCTTACCTGGATCAATTCAATTAGATTCTCTAAATGAGAGCTCCTGGAATGTCTAATGTACAGATAGAATTAAGAACAAGGCGACCGACTCATTGCAATTTGCCTGGGACTTTATTGGTTTTAAAACTGAAAGTCCTTTAACCAACCTCTCCCTATCTCCCCTGCCCTCTATCCTTCCCAGCCTCTAGTAACCACAATTTTACTCTCTACTTCTACGAGCTCAACTTTTTTAGCTTCCATATATGAGTGAGAACATGCGGCATTTATCTTTCACTTAACTGACTTAGTTCACTTAACATGTTTTCCAGGCCCATCCGTGTTGCCAAGTGCTGTGGGTTAAATGGTATTAATCCACACTGTAACAGTGTAGAGGGTGGGAAATCCTATTGTGGCAGTTGAAAGGTGGGGCCTTTAAGAGGTGATTAGATTGTGAGGACCTTTCCCTAGTGAATGGACTGATCCATTCATGGAGTAATAAGTTGATGGTTTAATGGCTGGTAATGGGTGTGGTTCGGTTTAATGGCTGGTAATGGGTGTGGTTCTGATGGCTTTATAAGGAGAGCAAGTGAGCAGGTTGGCGCTCTCTTGCTCAAGCCATTTGCAACGTGACACCCTGCATCACTACAGAGTCACCACCAGGAAAAGGCCCTCCCCAGATGTGTTCCCTGGACTTTGGACTTCCCAGCCTCCAAACCTGTAAGAAACAGGTTTCATTTCTTTATACATTACTCAGTTTCAGGTATTCTGTTATAAGCAACAGAAACAGACTAATAACACCAACTAGAACAGAATTTCAGTCTTGTTTATGGCTGAATAGTATTTCTATATATATATATATATATATATATATATATAATCACATTTTCTTTATCCAATCATCTGCTGATGGTTGATTCCATATCCTGGCTATTGTGAATAGTGCTGCAATGAACTTATAGCTAGATAGGAAGAATAAGTCCTAGTATTCTATAGTACTGTTAGGTTACTATAATTAACAATATTTCATTGCATATTTTCAAATACCTAAAAGGGAGGATTTCAAATGTTCCCAACACAAAGAAATGCTAAATGTTAGAAGTGATGTATATGCTAATTACCCTGGTTTGATCATTACACATTGTATACACGTCTTAAAATATCATTCTACACCACATAAATATGGAATTATGACACATCAATTTAAAAAATAATAATTTTTTAAAAGGAAAAAAAAATAAACTAAAATCCCTGAAAATCCTATGTCCTAGGAAACCCCTCAATCCCAGGCACACTAAGATGGTTGGTCATTGTAGTCAAAAACCAGTGCCCTACCTCTCAGCTAAACCTAGAAGAATAGTTAGAAGTGCTGACATGCTGCCCTTAATACTCTGGCCATGGCTACACGGCCCTGCATGGACTCAGAGCTCTCCGGTTCTTTGGATAAGGAAAGTCCCAAGGCACCCCAGGCCTAACTTTGGTTGCACTTCCACATCAATTAGGTTCCCAGGAGTCAGGTACAAGGTCAAGGAGCTGGGCTTGAACTCTGAACACTTTTCTCTGGATCAGGCAGTGAATGTAGGGGATCTCGTTTAAAAGCCCCAAGTAACTCTGGGGATGAATTTGACTAGACATAGCTCTCAATGCCAGCTTGGACTCTTCTGTGCCAGGGCTGGAGGGGAAACCCCTGCCTTCTGGGGGTCAAGCTACTCCAAGCTCTCCAGCTATAAGAAGGGTCAGAGCTAACATTGATCTGGAAGAATCCCCGTTTCGTAGATTGTGACTCACACGTGTGGGCCCAGTACGAGTCCTTTGTGGGCAGCCATGTGCGGTTCCCCTCCCCACAAATACAAGTGCATCCAATTTAGAGACAGAGACAAGCTTAATCATCCAAACTGTGAATCTTCTGAAAGTGAAAGGGGACATAATTATGCTGGGACAATGGGTATAAGCCAGAACTCTTGCAACCTGGAACATATGGTCACCGTACAGGAGCCCATGTCAAAGAAATGAAATCAGGGTAACTCCAAAAGCCAACTGAAGTGGGTAAGCAAAGTAGGCACAATGTTTCACAAAATAGAACCAAGGTCGGGGGACCAGGGGCTAGCAGTGCTTTCAACAGAGGAATTTCTGTACTTCTGTGGTAAGGGCCAGAACCAATGCAAACTGCCCAAGACTTTGGACTTACAGGAAGGAGACCTCACCAGGCCACTTCATAGGGCCAAACTAAAGAAACTGCTCCAGGAGTGAGGGCAGGGGCAAGGGCAGGGGCAGGCAGGACTATAAGGAAGAGCAAAAGAAAACATTTTTGGAATGCCCTTCTCTGGGTGGAAGGGCCACATCACTCCTGGGGCACTGAGGGCTGCTCTGGGTTCCTCACTTTAAGGAGGATGTGGACAAAACTGTCCAGGAACAAAGGAGAGGGGCTGACTCCGGGCTTTGCCCATGTCGGTGTTAAGAGCCAGACTACCCAGGCCCATTACAGGGGCAAGGTCTGTCCCTGTTCTCTCCAGTGACTTTGAGGATCAGCATTCCCAGGCCAATGGGGCAAAGCTATAGAAGTAGAATTCGCTGCCACAGGAGGCAGTGACATTGAGGAAGAAAATCAAGCACTTTCGGTGGACTTGTATGAGGGTTTCAAGCATGGAATGGAGGACTAGATTAAATGACCTCTGGGGTAAAATACATAATAATTTTTCCTTGTGACTCCTCTGGACCCTGGTCCACCGCTTAAGACAGGGCAGAAAAAAACCCCGATCAATAACAAGGATAAATAATAAGGGAAATAGGAGACACCCGAAGGCCTAGGTTAACATTTCAGGAAGGGCTCCCTTGGTGTGGCTCAGGGCATGGGCTGGGCGGAGACATGGACCCCAGCGGCAGGCCCAGAGCAGGACCCCTGCCCTCCAAGGTCACTGGGTTGGTGCAGGCCCAAGGCCAGGGCGGGAGATCTAAACCCTCAGGGGGTTCGCAGCAGCCTAAGACCCCACTCCCAGCCCCTGAACCCACCACGGATTTCCGTTTCGGGCTTCTCCGAGGACTGCCGATCCCGGCAGAAGGTGCAAAGCCTCGGACACCCTCCACCCTCCCAGGTTCCCCCGAGGAGTGGCGCCGGCCCGAACTGAGGTTACAGAAAGCGGCGGGGAGGCCGGAGTCACG